AAAAATTAAGTAAAATAAATACAATATAAAAACTGAGTAATAGTAGGTAAAAGTAACTTTAGACAGTAATAAACTCTTCTTGAGCTTAAAAAAAAGTTTTTCGAAGCAGAAATCCTTAGACCAGTAGTTCTCAACCTGTGGCAGCTTTGCTCCCCAGGGGACATCTGGCAATATCTGGAGACATTTTTTGGTTGTCACAACTTGGAGGAGGTTGCTGTTGGCATCTAGTGAATAGGGGCCAAGGATGGGTTAAATATCCTACAATGCCCAGGACAACACCCTACAGCAAAGAATTATTCGACCCAAAATTTCAGTAGTACTGAGGTCAGTAGTGCATTAGACAATATTTTAAAACTCTTCTTTCTTGTAGTGACTACTGTTAAATCTATTTAAAATGGGTGTAAAGAAGAAGAAACAAACACAAGTTACTTCGTTGACCATTTGTCATCCGGACCTTGAAACTTTGAGATGTAAGTGATTTCTGACTTCATTTGTTGATTTCTTTTCTAGGTTGCAAACAAGAGTATTTTTATCTCTAGGACTCTGTATCACGTAATGTTCAAACTCTTGCTATTGAATTATTCCATGTTCTTTACATTGAGCTTTGAATGTAAAATGATTTTCTTAAATGTCTATCTACTCCTATCTTTAGACTAAGTTCTGCCAAGTTTGTTTATTTTGTTTATAAATATTTACATTTTATAGAATATATAACAAAGGCAAATTCATGTCCATATATTATTAAGTCACTGAAGAGATCTTTGTGTGTGTGTTATGTAGCTTTGGCTGATGTGGAAGGGAAAAATCTAGCTTCTTTGCTATTACGTTGTGTGCAACTCACCGATGGAGTGTCACAGATCCATTATGTTAAACAGGTAAGGCTGATTTGATATTCGTGGATGCATCTTGAAGATTATCATGCTATTATGGACTTCTAAAGTTAGCTGACAATTTTTGGCTCCCAATTACTTAATATCAATGTATCTTTAAAGAAAAGGGTTTTGTTTTTTTGGTTCATTGTGTGATAACTTTTTATTCAGAGTAATGATAGAAACTATATTCAGGCTCCTGCCACCACTGAAACTGTAAATAGATAGGTTAATGAGGTAATTGTGCATACCTTTTTTGTGGTGATAAATTTAAAAAAATTATTCCTGTTAATCAAAACTTTTTAGCAGGAACATCAAAAAGTTAACTTAAAATGTAAAGACTTATCTCAAGGGGCAGCATTAAAAAAAGAAAGTAAAGACTATCCTTACTAGCATTTCAGTATTAGGATTTACTATTTGAACCTGCGTAATAGTTTTTTGGAAATCAATTAAATGTATTGTAGTGCTACAGAATTCCTGTACCTTAAGCCATTAACATGTCTGTAGTTCTTAATGAAGGTGGGTCTGGAGGAGTTGGGGGCATGGCTTTAAAAAATTAATAAATACTGAAATAGGTATTTATCAGTACCCTTAACAATGTAGTGTAAAAATATTTCACATTATAATTGAGACTGAAAAGAGTATTTGAATCGATGTTACTTTGCTATATTTTATATCAGAAAAAAATTACTATGACTTTGAATTTTTTGGATTATAGATTGTGCCCTTACTGGAGAAGGCAAATAAAAATGGCATGTGTGATCCCACTGTTCGAAGCTGTTTGGATATTTTAGCAGGCATTTATCTTTCTTTGAATCTGAAGAATCCTTTGAAGAAAGTCTTGGCAAGGTAAGAAAAAAAAGAAAGAGAAGTTAGGCAATTAAATGTTTAGTTTGACCAAAAGTAACCAATAGTTAAGGTTTCTTCTGTGGTTTGGTAAAACTGAACTGAAATATATCACTTAACAATTTCATTCACATGGTTTCACTTTGTTTTGTTTATTT